GAGAAAGAGAGACGTCGATGTGAGAACGACAAATTGATTGGTTGCCTCCTGAACATACCCCTACTGGGGCTGGGGATCGAGCCTGCAACTGAGGTATGTGCCCTTGGCCGGGACCCTTCAGTCTGTGGGCCAACGCTCTAACCACTGAGCCAAACCAGCTAGGGCATTTATTTATTTAATTTTGAGAGGGAGGGAGGGAGGGAAACATCAGCGTGAAGGAGAAACATTGGTTGTTTGCTTCTCATACACACCCCAACCAGGGACTGAACCTGCAACCTAGGTATGTGCCCTGACTGGGAATCGAACCCTCAACCTTTTGGTGTAGGGGACAGCACTCCAACCGAGCCACACCAGCCAGGGCACTGGTGGCATTCTTCATTAGGCTGAAACTAGATGCCAGCTCATTTTCAGCCATAAAGAACCACTTATCGTGTAGGTTTATTCAGAGTAGAGTACTTGCTATGTTTTAGGCACATGCAGATTTCATGGAGCTGACATGCAGATTTTATATTTGCTGCCTGACATGCATTATGCTTTCCTTCTGTAGAGTGATAATGGTCTCCAGCTGCCAAAGAAGGTTGTGGATGCCAAGAGAAAGGTAACCGTTTCTCATCCCCTCGAGTGGACTTGGACGCTTCTACGAGTTCACACTGGCTGGCAGTAGACATGGCCGAGTTCACAAACTTCAAGGATACTGCCTCCAGCCGCCACCTGCGGTTTAAGTTGCAGAGTCTCAGCCGCCGCCTTGATGAGCTGGAAGAAGCCACCAAAAACCTCCAGAAAGCAGAGGATGAGCTCCTGGATCTCCAGGACAAGGTGATTCAGGCGGAAGGCAGCAACTCCAGCATGCTGGCTGAGATTGAAGTGCTGCGTCAGCGAGTGCTGAGAATCGAAGGCAAGGATGAGGAAATTAAGAGAGCAGAGGACCTGTGTCAGCTGATGAAGGAGAAACTCGAAGAGGAGGAGAACCTCACCCGGGAGCTGAAGTCCGAGATTGAGCGGCTTCAGAAACGAATGGCCGAGCTTGAGAAGCTAGAGGAGGCCTTCAGCAGGAGTAAGAATGACTGTACCCAACTCTGTTTGAGCCTGAATGAGGAGAGAAACCTCACGAAGAAAATCTCCTCTGAGCTGGAAATGCTCAGGAGCAAAGTGAAAGAGCTGGAATCTTCTGAGGACCGCCTGGATAAAACTGAGCAGAGCTTAGTGTCAGAGTTAGAAAAGCTGAAATCCTTAACTCTGAGCTTTGTAAGTGAGAGGAAATACTTGAATGAGAAGGAGAGAGAAAATGAGAAACTTATAAAAGAGCTCACGCAGAAACTGGAGCAGAACAAAAAAGTGAACCGGGATTATACAAGGAATGCTTCTAACCTGGAAAGGAACGACCTCCGGATTGAGGACGGCATCCCTTCCACGCTGCCGTCTAAAGAATCCAGAAGGAAGGGCAGCCTAGACTATCTGAAGCAGGTAGAGAATGAAACAAGAAATAAATCGGAAAATGAAAAGAACCGAAATCAGGAAGACAATAAAGTCAAAGACCTTAACCAAGAGGTGGAGAAGCTGAAGACGCAAATCAGACATTTTGAATCCTTGGAAGAGGAGCTTAAGAAAATGAGGGCCAAAAATAATGACCTGCAGGATAATTACTTGAGTGAACAAAATAAAAACAGACTCTTAGCCAGCCAGCTGGAGGAGATAAAGCTGCAAATCAAGAAACAAAAAGAGCTAGAGAATGGAGAGCTCGAAGGGGAAGATGCTTTCCTGTCCAGCAAAGGTAGGCACGAGAGGACTAAGTTCAGAGGCCACGGGAATGAGGTGTCTGTGTCCAAGCACACATCTCGGGAACTGTCCCCTCAGCATAAGCGGGAAAGGCACCGAAACAGGGAGTTTGCTCTTAATAATGAAAACTATTCTCTGAGCAACAGGCAGGTTTCCTCTCCCGGTTTCACCAACAGGAGGGCAGCCAAAGCTTCCAACATAGGGGCAGGTACAGATAGTGGGACTCAAGAGACAAAGAGAACTGAAGATCGATTTGCATCCAGCTCCTCTCAGAGTGAAGGGAGGAAGTCCAGGGAGCAGCCGTCGGTGCTAAGCCGCTACCCCCCAGCTGCTCAGGAGCACAATAAAGTTTGGAAGGGTACTCCCAAGCCAGGTACTGAGAGTGGGTTGAAGGGAAAAGTAGAGAAAACAACACGAACATTTAGTGATACCCCTCATGGATCTGTTCCCAATGACATACAGGGTAGAACTGACAAGGCTCCTGACACCTCAACGGAGGCCCTCTTTGGCAAGAGGGGGCAGGTGTCTAGCAATGGAAGTCAAGTAACTCAGGCTGCAGACACTGGCAGTTCTAAGGCCATTGGCGCTCTGGCCTCATCTCGAAGATCTTCCTCAGAAGGGCTCTCTAAGAGCAAAAAGGCTGCCAATGGCCCAGAGGTTGATACCAGTTCCCAAAATTCCAAGGCTTCACTTTTATCAAAGTATCCGTATAGCTCCAGAAGCCAAGAGAACATTCTTCAGGGTTTTTCAACCCCAAATAAAGGAATTGATCAGTCTGTAGCAGTTGTGATGGAAGACAGCAGTCAGCATGAGGCCCTGAGGTGTCGAGTCATCAAATCTAGTGACAGAGAGAAGCCAGACTCAGACGATGACATGGACATGACATCTCTTGTTACTGCCAAATTGGTAAACACAACCATTACCCCGGAGCCAGAGCACAAACAACAGCCCACCTCTAGAGAGAAAGCCAAATCTCGAGGGGGCCTTAGAACCAACTTGTTTGAGAATGATAAAGATGTCGGGACAGAAAATGAAGCTCTGAAACCTGTCAGAGCCTCCACCAATGCCGTGGAGTTCCCAGAGGCCAACGGTGCTGGGGTAAAAAGGCCCTTCAGCCCCAGAGAAGCCTTGCGGTCTAGAGCCGTCATCAAACCTGTCATCATTGATAAAGATGTGAAAAAAATCATGGGAGGGTCTGGAACTGAGGCTGCATTGGAGAAACAGAAATCCACCTCCAAACCAGGGCCAAACAAAGTGACAAGTAGCATTACTATCTACCCTTCTGACAGCAGCAGCAACAGCAGCAGCCCTAGAGCCACCCCAGGTGAGGCCCCGCGGGAGAGGCACACATCCACCAGCAACATCCAGGTTGGGCAACCAGAGCTCACGTCAGTTAGCAACCATGTCAGCTCCCCCTTTGAGCTCTCCATTCACAAACATGACATCACCTTGCAGTTCACAGAAGCTGAAAGAATGGGAGACGGGCCCCTAAAGAACAGGCCTGAAACAGTGGTCTCTCGGAGCAGCATTATAATCAAGCCATCGGACCCGGTGGAGAGGAATAATCATGCACCTCCTGCAGAGACAATCAGGTGGAAAAGCCATAGTGCCCCTTCAGAGGTGAGCCCTTCAGATGCCAGGCACGTTACTGTGCGGAATGCCTGGAGGAGCAGGCGAGATTTGAACTCTTTAGAAGATCCCCCAGCTCAAATGGGTAAAAATGTGGCATCTACCAATGCCTACACCCAGAGGTCTTCCGTAGACTATTCAGAGCTTGAACAGCCCAAGTCGTACCTTTTAGAGCAGGGTACTCGAAGGGCAGGAAACCCAGGGGATGCCCCTGAGCTCTCTTCTAGAAGGACCCAAAGTAGCCTCACTGTGTCAGAGACGCTCACTCGGCGGAATCGGGTAGGGGATGCTGTCACAGCTGCCGCCTGGAACCACTTGGCAGGCATGGTAAGTCCCTCTTCTTTCCCTCTCTCCCCCCCCTTCTGCTGTCCCTTCCCACTTTCCTTTTCTCCTTTGCCCCCTCTGTCCTGGCCCATGTGAGTCAGGATTATGTAGACTGTGGGGCTGGGAAACAGTGGGTGGCTCAGAGAACTGTTGAAAATAAAGGTAGGTTTGTCCTTAAAGAATAAAGGAGCATGAATTTCCAAAATCCTTTTCCCAGTTGGTCTCCTCCATTTGCCTTCATGTACGGAGGCCTCAGAGAAGGAGATGGGGCCTCTACTCTCTTGGTTTGCCAGGGTAGCCAGCAGAGCTCCCTCTCTGGCTCCACAGAGCAGCACCTAGAAACACAAGCAGCTTCAGCTGCTGGGAAGCTCTGAGCGAGAAGAGGAAGCCCAGCGCCCTTTCTGTAGAGCAGGGGTGGGAGCCTGGGGAAGGAGTTCTTGGCTGCCTCAGTTCAGACAGCGGATCTTTGCCATATACGGGGTGAGGAGAGCTAGGGCTTACACTGGGCCTACTTCATAGACTTTATGCCTGAGCATCTTTTTACCCCAGACACCTGTCAAGCCCATTATATTGTCAATCTGAGGGCAGGGCTGGTTCATGTAGCTCATTACAGGACAGATAAACCCAGAAGCTGCTCCTCATTTGAGGGTCAGACTGTCAGAACAGCATTAGAAGGGGAAGCCCCTGCAAGTATCTTTTAGATGTAGAGCCTGTGATGATGACATTTTGGATCCAGATATTATTGTCTTCTTTTAAAGGGCAGGTGATTCTGTTAACTTGAAAAGTCCTGTGAGTCTTTTTTAAAAAAAAATGTCTTTATTGCTTTCAGAGAGAGGAAGGGTGGGGGGGAGAGAAAGAGAGAAATATCAATGATGAGAGTCATTGATCAGCTGCCTCCTGCACGCCCCCCACCGAGGGTCGAGCCCGAAACTCGGGCATGTGCCCTTACCGGGAATCAAACCTTGACCTTCTGGATCCTAGGTCGATGCTCATCTGCTGAGCCACGCCGGTTGGCAGCCCTGTCTTTACCAGGGCACTTAACACTTGACAAAGCACTTCCCCACCCACTTACCTCAATTAGTCTCTCAACAGCTATGGGCAGGTATTATCCCCCCTTTTTTAGATGTAGAAACTGAAGGTCAAAGACACAAAGTGCCTCACCAGCTTTGAATCCAGGATTTGTCTCGAAACCCACTCTTCTTTGTACTGTGCCACCTTTTTCACTCATACTTTCGTTCTTTTGCATTTGCTTCGGAGCACCAAAGCAGAACATTAAAAAAAGGCAGAAGTCTGGTAGAAGAGCAGTGGAGAGAAAGATGGGTGTTTATCCCCCTGAAGCGTTGGCTATTTTAGAGATGTTGAGGGGTGTGTGATGATGAGAGATAGGATATAAAAGGGAAGGCATGTGAGCTTTTTGGTAGTTTATTGATGGGAAGTAGGAAAAGAGCTGTCCAGCTTCCGCTTCAGCATACTTACCTGCCTACCCACCAAGGAAGTGGCTCTCTCCCTGAGAAGTATGTGGCCTGCATGTGCAGAACTAGAGGACCACAGGCTACTACTACTTAGGGATACCACTCCTGTGCCCGCCTTCCTAGCCCTGTACTCTGTAGGGCTCCTGTTCAGTTGCGAGCCCCCCAGTCACCCTAGGAGCCCCTAGCAGATTGGAGTGTGTAGTCTACCCAGATTTCCATACCCTGTGCTATGGTCTGTCTGTGCTATATCTCCTACTGCCAGGCTGGAGAGGACCATTGGGGTAGGGAGTGAGGATAAATAACTTTGTTACTATATTGTCCTCCACAGCTCACTTTTGTCATTTATTGACACAGGAGGAAGGCGATGACTGCGCACTCAGTGTCTACAGGCAACCGCACAACTCCCTGGAACCGTCTGAACTGCCCGTGAAGCAGGGGCTGTCAGAGCCTGGGCGAGTACAGGCTGAGGAACGGTTACGACCACCCCGACCCTGTACTGAGGAAAACTGAGGCAGCTGGGCGAGGCCTGCTGTCTCCTCTGCTCCTGCTTCTCAGCTCTTCCACCTTCCCATCCTATGAAGGATCCCAGGCCAGTTAACCAGGCTAGACACCAGGCCTTGGCTGGGAGATTGTGGCAGAGAGCCAGGCTGTGGCTCAGGTCATTTTTGCCGGTTGGCCAGAGATCAGAAACTACAAGCTGGACAGAGTCACCCGGGCACAGCCTTTCCTGATTGATGCATGAGTCCTGTTTCCTTGTCCCTGCCCCGTCCCCAGGTAGGAGGGGCCACTCTGGCCCCCAAATAGGGAATGATATAGAAACTCCTTATATTCCCACCACACAACAGCAGCCCCTTCGGTGTGGTTAATGTTCCGATTTCTTAGTCCCCTCATCACATCCAGTTCACTCCTTGTCTGCCCCAGGGGCCTAAGTACCGACACTAAGACTTACCAGCCATCAGCTCCATTTAGGGGGCTTCTATTCCTTTCCCTTTGGAGTTCCTCGGACTTTTACCGAAGAGGTCTGTGCTGCCTCCAAGGGATTATGGGACTATGACCTGGTCCCCTTGCTGATCCACTGTTTCCTGGGGGCAGAGCACACGGGTACCCACCCACCTATTGGAATGTCATCATCCCTCCCCCAGCCCCAGCTCTCAGCTCACCCTCCAAAGGCTCCTGGAAGTGCACAGACCTCATGCATCTCCTTTCCTGGGCACCAATAATGCTGCTGGCATTGCCTGCTCCTCTCCTGTGGCTGGAGACTTCATGCTGACTTTGTTTCCACCTTCGGAATATTCCCAGACTAAACTGGGCCTGATCCAGCATACTCTGCCTTCTAGGAAGCGCCCAGCAGAGGGGAAAGTGGACAGGAAGGAGCGCTTTCCCGTTAGTCACTCCACACAGCAGTAGCTCCATGGAAGGCATGGACTCCGTTCCTCCTCCATCCCCTACAGAGGAGGTGTCGCACTTTACCAGGCCGATGCATTCCTGCAGAAGTGGGCCCATGATTTCTGCAAACCAACTATCATGATGACTTCATGGGAGGAAAGGTAACACATGCCCGTCAAGGGCCCCAGGTTTATACAATTCAAAATGCAGCAAACTTCAGGAAGCCACATAAAGGTTGATTAGTTTACTTACACCATTTGCATGGGGAAGTTAAAAAGAACCGTATAATCTTGACACTGCTTTTTCTGTAGCATTCTCAGTTCTACCTGTATGAAGCAGACACTTCCTTCATAGTGAAAGAGCGTTAGAGTAGGAGTCGGGAAAGCTGAATTTTCTTCATGGCTTTGCCTCAGTTTCTGTGTCTATAAAGTGAGTTAGTTGAAATGAATGGTTTCTAAGGGTCCTAAATCTGGCATTCTAAGATTCTTCTGTTTCCATCATTCCACTGGGGGTGGTGGTGGGGGTGGGGTGGTGGTTCTCGCTTTTAGAAGGTGTCATCCAAATGGGTTTGGGAAATGTGTCCTTCCCACTGCCTTTGATTGCTTTCCTGGGCCCTTTTAATGTCATGTGGTTGAGCTCAGAGAAGCTCCCCTTGGCCTCCTTTTTCCAGTCTGTAAAATGAAGGGGTTAGATTAGATGGTGTCTGCAGCCCTTTTTTGGCACCAGTGCCTTGCCCAGTGCCACGCAGTGTCTCCTGGCTCGCACTTTCCATAATACAAGTTAGTGTGTCTCCTGTTCCTGTGCTTCTTGTCATCTCAGCTTCCACTCAAAGTGGGAACCAGCATTCGTCCTGCCTTGTCTGCATCAGACTTGGCAGTCCTGGAGGCTTGGGGAGCACCTACCGTTACTTTCAGGGACAGGAATGTTTTGTTCCTATTTCCATTTTCTGGAATTTTGCCATTCTAAGGGCATTGTCATGAGGCTTGCCTTTCCTTCACATTGCTGCCTCAGATGTTCAGCTTCAGATGCTGTTTCAAAACCTTTTCCTACTGCTTCTCCTGGGTCACCACTGGCCAGAAACTAGTTTGCTAAAGGCTGCGATCTCTCACAGCCTCCCTGCCATTCTTCACTGGTTGGCAACCCTGACAGTTCAAAGGAAACTGACCTCTGTGGTGGTCAACTGAGAGTATAGGCAAGTCTGTGGCTCTTCTCTGCTGGTGGAAACAGAAGGGTGCCAAGCCATGCCTTCAAAGTTCTCGCCAATAATTCTCATCTTTGGGCATTGGAGCCCTGGATTCTGGTGCTGTAGCTCTTGGTGCCAAAGTCTGGATCTTTCCACATTTCAGCAGCATCATCTGCCGCTACCCAAAATGCTCTGTGTAAGAGGGACAGCTGTGATGCCCTCTTGCTGGGGCTATCTTAAAATCTTGAGTGCAATAGGGTTTGATTGTACCAGTTATTTCAGGATATTTTGTTTCATCTGCACACTTTCTAGAACCGCTGTAAAATGTTTTTTTAAAAAATGTCCTCAGCGTTGCAGAAAATACCATCTGTTACAGCCTGCAGTCAAATGGCTGGCAAGGCTGGCTCTTAAATTCCAAAGCTGGAAGGCACGTTTCTGAAAAGCAGCCTAGGTGAGACTGTCTGGACCCAGGCCTCATCATCGGGGCCCTGGAAGAAACATCCAAATAAAGGGGAGACCTGGTAGTTGAATAGTTGTCTAATCAAGCCAAATATTCCCCATCACAGCCAGTAAACCCACTTTTATGACAAGCCTTTTCTGCAGCTTGGCTCAAACTCTAAATTTTACTGGCAGGTGTATGGTTGTGGGAAGGTTCCTAGTGAGGTTGGGGAACCTCCAGAGCTGCTTCATGGGAGAAAGTAGAGCTGGTCTCTTCCACCTGTTGTCGCCTGTCTCTTGCCACTCTGATACTAAAAACAACTGGAGAAAGCTGCAGGGATAGTGAGCAGAGGAAGCCATGACTGTTTTTGCTTGAGTGGCAGCGAACGTTATAATGTGGGTTAAAGGGATTTGCAGTGGGGCCAAGGATCCCAACCTTGGCCACAGGCAAGCTTGCACATAAATCATCCCTCTCTCATGGGGCATGAGAGGGTCTATATTGATCTTGGACCTTTCGTCCCGGAGCAGTTTTAGTTCTTTATATTTAGTGGGTTAGTGCCAAGTACTACCACTTCCCAGTAAAGGAACAGGGACGCGGCCTCCGGTCTGGTCCCTCGCTGCCTTTGTTGGTGTGGGGGTTTTTGTTTTGGTTCAAGACTGCTTTGGAAGAGCTGCTTTTAGGGATTATCTTCCGAATACCCCTGACGGGGAACAGGGTTTTCCTCAAAGCCTCACAACCAAGATCATAGGAAAGGGGCCCTATTTTCCTGCTGCTTCACAGCTCAGAACATGTACTGAATGGAATGTATTTTTAAGAGAATAAAGTCTATTTTTTGTATTTTAAAGATTGGGAGGGCTAGGGAAGTAGCCCTCAAAAACTGTTATTACATAATAGGCCCCTTTGCTAAGGGGCATCAGTATCTGTTGGTCCACACTTACTTGCTCAGGCAGGTGCTCGGGTCTCACCCCTGCCCCTTGGAGTCCAGGTGCAGCAGCTTCTACATTCCTGCTCCAAGCATGGGACCAAGGAGGCTGGAACCCTGTCGCTGGAAACCAGGGCAAAGCCATGAGCAGTGACTCAGGGCTCCTTGGGTGCATGTGTATAGTTGAAGCTGCCTGTCTGCATGTATCCTCTGGCTCTAATGCTGTCTGTTGGCTCTGCAGCACAATATGTAACCAATAAAGCTCCCTAGTTTCCATGTGCTCTGTGTCAGTCAGTGATGCCATTTTTGTTGATGTCATCTCTGTATACAACTGTTTCCTATGCGTTGGTGCAGCTAGTATAGTTCACTGTATTTTATTTAAAATTCCCAGCCAATTACTGGTGCCATAAGGACTGGAAAGATAGCTGAGGCTTAGTAAAGGACATACCTAGAAGCCAACACTTAATTGGAGTTAGAATCATATGGCACCTGTTTTATTGCTACATTTTATTTTTAGGCTTGTCTGTCACCACACACAAAACAACAGTCTCTCAAGCTGCCTAATGCCACCTATTTAAACAAACTTTTAAAAGCATTTACCACTGGATCAGACACCTTAGCCACCCCTTCCCTGCCCCAAGGAAACAATATTAATGGCAGAGCTGGGCTCCAAAGTCCATCTATTTTCCACGGCATGCTGTTCTCACCTTTACGTCAGTTACACCACTTGCCCTGAGCCTAGTGTGCAAAATCTCCTCATTGCTGTCACTCATTCCAAGANTTTCCACGGCATGCTGTTCTCACCTTTACGTCAGTTACACCACTTGCCCTCAGCCTAGTGTGCAAAATCTCCTCATTGCTGTCACTCATTCCAAGACTAGGGGAAAAGCTTCTCCAGTCAGATCACCAATGTAATGTCCCTTAAATCTTACTAAGAATAAAACCTCATTTAGGGAAGAATTGACTAATACAAGTAAAATCCAATTTCCAGAAGCGTATTACATGTGCATTTTAGTCTGTTAAGAGCCCTTGGGGAAGGAACAGACATGCTGTTCCCTATAGGTTTTTACCTTACACGGCAAAAGGGACTTTGCAGATGTGATTAAGGATTCTGAGATGGGAGAGATGATCTGGGTGGGCCTTAAACAAAGTCACAAGTATCCTTGTAAGAGGGACACAGAGGAGGATCTACAGAACACAAGGTGGTGATGGAAGCAGAAATTGGAGTTATGTGCTTTTAAGGTGAAGGAAAGGGCCACAAGCCAAGGATACAGACAGTCCCTAGAAGCTGAGAAAGGCAAGGAAATAGAATCTTCCCTCAGAGCCTGCTGGTAATTTGTTACAGAAGCAACAGGAAGTAACACCAGTGAAGTTACATAAACCCATGATCTGCTCCTTACGTAGAACTTGCCCATGGACAGAAGTGGAAAGTTAGCACATGTGCATGGAGGGAACCTGGAGAATAAAGCCGGATGGTCTGCCAGAGGCCTCCCCAAACTTTGTGTTGTCTTGTGTTTTATCTTGAGAATTCAGTTTTCCGATGTCCGTGTGCTTCACCTGTAGTGCCACCTTCGGCACACAGCGCACAGTCCCAGTGGGGAAGTCCAGCCCCACAGAACTGGAAGCCCGTTGCTTCTGTGGGACCCTCCTCAACCCAGTCTTCCGACTTGACCGAATCATTTTCCTCCTGATACAAACCTCCTCCTCACATGAGCACGGACAGAATTAGCATCTGCAAAGGAGTAAAACGCCTATCGAGTATACAGCTTTAACCCTGAGGGGAAACAAAAAAAGGGCAGGACTAATTTTATATGAAGTTTTATTCTCAAAATATAAAAAAGCTACCACACACCAAGAGACTAAGATGTCCTCATAGCGCCTGCTTGCCTCAGTCTTGATGAAGCGCACACTCCACACCAATGGTCAAGTGCCTCCCTCCTCGGCCACCTCCCATGAACTTCAGTTGATCATGGGAGCCGGGAAGCCAGGGCAAGTTTTTCAGGAATCTAGTATTGCTAGAAGAGTTTTGCTTACACAGCAAAAGACACATACGTCAGCCTCTTCCCTTAGGATACGACTGTCTCATATGCTTGGGGACTGCTGTGCAGGGACACCTGGGGTGGCCTGGCGAGGCAGGGTGTACATGGCTCCCAAGAACTGGTCTGCAATCCTTCCTGCTTCTCGAAGCCCACTCAGCAGAGCACCGTGGACTGTGGCTGGGTAGTTACGGATTGTGTGTTCTCCAGCAAAGAAGAGTCGTGGGATTGGCTATTTCAGGAAAAAATTAAGAGGAAATCAGCACATTGTAAATATACTTTTGTTCTTGTGTTTGAGCTGCCAAATTCTTGTTGGCCTTGATGCTGACTCCCTGCCCCAATCACTAGTCCATCATTTTGCCAACAAGGGTCTCCCTTAGCAGGCATTTTCTTAGAACTGACAGGAGGAGGAAAGGGACAGTAAGACTCAGCTCAGCCTTAGTTCTGCAGTGATGCTTAACTACATCTGTTCTTAACCCTGGGGGATGCCCAGGTTCTAAATCTTTAGTGCCTCATGTAGTACCCATGGGGGGGGGGGTTCCTGACTACTCTGAACCATAGAGAATACAGCATTTGTTCTTGCTCCGCTCAGAGCAGGCATTACTTAGCACAGGGTCCTGACAACACTTCCTCCCCTTTGGAGCAGGGTCCAGCACTGTCTAGGTTATTTCTTGGGGGCATGCCCTAAAGGCCCCTAGTGATTAGGACCTTGCAACAATCCTGTGAGCTGCTACAAAATGGGGTGCAATTAAAAACATTTTTTGTTTTAAAGGGACAAAAATCTGAATACAGACTGCTCAGATTTACAAAGCCAAAATGTGGGAAATCTGACACAAATGATCTGAAAGGGCCCAAGGACAGAAGAACGAATTCAGTAACAATCAGTGGCATTTTCACTCTGAGATCCTGGGATACTGGCCTCTTCCCAAATAAGCCCAGGTTCAGCTTGTTAGTTTCTCACCTGTGGGGCACCTGGAATTGAGGGGCCGGGAGTGATTGGCTGAGCCATTAAATCATAGTCGTTTCCAGATGATCCTGCAGCTACATAGGAATAGGAGCCCCGGGCCCAGGGATCAGCACGCCAGCGAGACACCACTGTTTCCTTGGGCTAAAGAAAAAACCATGGGCGGAGGTTATTACTGGGCCCCAAAGACAAACCAGTAATCTCTGAAAGGTGGAAAAGCTGTGGCGAGTAGCGATACAAATTCTGAGAGAACTAAAGAGGCAACAGACATGAGAGTTAGCCAAGCAGTGAATGCTGATGCCTTAAAATAGTAACAAATGCCTTCAGACTGCAAGGAAGCCTCCACGTTGCACTCTTGTCCATGAATCCAAGACTTGACCTAAATTCTCTTATAAATTCACATGAAACATTAATGTGCCTCTTCTCAAAGGAATCAAGGGTCTAAGTGTTTCGGGGGGCCTAAAGTCAAGTACCAAAAGGTTCTCTTCAGACCTCCGAGGGAGTCTGGCCACTGTGTCTGAAGGGTGGGGTGGTGATGGGGGGTGATGGTGGTAAGATTCCAAAGCAGAGACAACAGACAAACAGGCAAATGCAGCAAATAGCTTTCTGAACCCCACAGTTAGGGCATGAGCTCCAACCAGCATTCATGTAAACCCATACACACCTCTCAATTCTGGTTGAAACTGTCCTGACAAGTACCTGTGCTGCAACTTAAAGAGAGTATGTCAACCCTGCTTTAGTCCAAACCCCAGATCCCCGCTTGCCCCCACCCACTTACTTACCTGGGGCACTGCACTGCTACCAAAAATCCCTTTGAGGATGGCCAGGCATCGGCCTACAATCACATCATCACTTATGTTTTCCATGATGCCAGCAGCTTCTCCTGCCACTAGTGCCAATAGTATAGGAGCTGGGAAAACAGAAAGGACAATGCCAGGGTTTTCCTACAGATTTTCTCAAGGACCTACATAAAGGGCCCCACGTTTTTCCTGGTGCTCTGAAATCCGGTGACCAATAAACAGATGAACATGTACTGCTCATGCTAGAGACAAGTTGTTTCTGAAACAGCGACTTAAAATCTAGTCCCAGAAGGGGGTTGGCAAACTACAGTAGTGACTCATACACTTCACTGCTTATAACTGCAGAACATGGAAGTCCAACACATATAGTTTCAGACCTTGTTAACAAAAGAAAACAAGTATCCCGATGCTGAGACAAAGAATTCTTAGCCCTGACCACTGCAGACAGCTTGACCACAAGGATTACCCTGCAGCTACCCCAGGCCCCTCCAAGCCCAGCACCACCTGTACTCCTCCACTGGTGAACACGCAGCAGGCTATGGGATAAGCACAGTAGAGATGTTGGGGATATAAAAGCTATAAGCTAGATTATGTAACTCCATAGACACACAGACAAATAGTCACACATATAATTATGAAATGTGATAGAAGCTATTGAAGAAAACGGCCCAGAGAAAAGAATACAGAGAATTTAGAGTTGAAGCAGTGGAGGTGTGTACCTGCAAGCCCTCTGTGAAATACCTAAAGGCTGGGTGGAGTGCGCCGCATGGGAAGGAAGGGAAGGAGAGCACAGCAGCCCAGCTCAGTGTTTCAGGGCCAGGCCGAAGTGGGCAATGGCGTGGTGCAGTCCGGGACCCCAGGAGAGCAGCAAGGGTTCCTGGAGCCCAGGGCATGGGGAGGGGTGAGGATGGGGTGGGAGGAACAGTCAGAAGAAGCTGAAATAGGGAAGGGCTAGATTAGTAATGGCCAAGACAATGGAAAACCCTCAAAAGACAGAAGCAGGGAAAGCAGTTAGTGGCTGCTGGCAACTGAACAGGTAAGAGGAGAGAGAAACTTGGACTGGGAGGTGGGCAGGAGGAAAGAAGGGAAGCAAATAGGTCAGAGAGAGAGAGAGGTGGCACTGACAGGACTCGATGGCCTGAACGGGGAAAGGGAAAGAGCACTCCACTGTTGTCAGCAGTGTGCTCAGGACACACAGTGCCTCCCCTGTGGATTAGTGGTCCTGGCCACGTGGAAGATGTTTCTGTACTGGGCAGTGAAGTGATGGAAAGAACTGGGGTGGGGGTCAAACCGTTAGTTGATGTGGCTGCACTGTCAAGGCCACACCTCCTGACACTGCTGCACAGCACACAGTGCGTGTCTTTTACATTCTTTTCCTGGAATGAGGTCAGGTCTAAAGAGACTTTAAAACAAGTTCCCTCTAGGATTACAGAAGACAGTACAGCAGGAGGTAGGAGTTTCATAAATACACCCTACGGGAAGTGACCGAAGATTCAGGGGCGAGTCAGAAAAGCCTGAGAATGAGGACTACAGATCTCCCCGGCCCCGAAGCCTCCCTGGGCTTTCCCCTCCTGGCGGGTAGATTCTTCCTTGTTTTCCTCGCAGTGCCCTGGGCTGTCACCCTGTCATCTACCTTCTGCCCTGCTCGGAGACTGCCTAGCGCCTCACTCTATCTCCCACAGGTTAGCTGTGGGCTCTGAAGGCAGGGTTTCCCGTATCCCCAGCACCTATAAGGGGTTTCAGGAATTGCTGGCTGAGCTAATGAAAAGTCAAGAAATGTATATATGAGGAAAACCAGAACATTCCTAAGTCTCTGTTCCTATAAGGATATGAGGAAGCTCAAAACCAAAAAGCAGTTACCTTTATAGAGGTTCCAGAAGAGGAAGAGCTCACCCCTGCTGGCAGTCGTGCTGCCAACATGCCCGAACAAATTGACACTGGGATCCCAGAACACCCGGTCAAAGCACAACACCACCTGCAACAGAGAAGCAGCACATGAGCTGGGGACAGGGCTTGGAGAATATGGCTTTAAGTACAGCTGTGCCTCAACAGGAAGTACTACTACTTCTTCAGACCTCATCTAAAGGTCTTCTACTTTTAACACAAGCCTAGAAAACCCTATTAAAAATGTACCACTTAGGATGGCATGTGGAGCTCTTTTTATGGGCTTGGGTTTGTGAAGTGAGCCCAGAAGACTAAGTTCTCGTGGGTACTTTATGTATAATTAGGCAATGACGTGAATGAACGGACAGGACGCGCCCTGTGTCAGAGTTGAGAGCGCAGCAAGATGTATAAAGATGCGACCCCTCCCCCGTCCCAATGGAGGGCGGCGAGGCCGCCGTCCGTGCAGCGGGCGCGGGGTGCGGAGGGCGGGGTACCTTGTTCAGGTTGCCGAATCCCATCCTCTGCACCGCAGATGTTTTCCACTCAGGAAGAGGCGGCACAAACTGAACAGCCGGCGGCTGCTGCTTCAGCACGCCCAAGGGGAGGGTACAGAGCACGGCGTCACACTTGTAAATGAAGGTCTGGCTTGTGGAGCGGGTGTTCACAGCTATCACTTCACACCCTAAAGGGGTCGAGGGAAAAGACTACTGGTGACAGACGGTACTGAAAGGGTTCTGAACATTTAGTGCACAGCAGGCTCCATATGCCGTCCCAGTTAAGTCTTCACACAAGTCTATGAAGTCGGCTCTATCCATTTTCTACAGAGGGGAACTGAGGCAGAACGGAAAACACAGGTAAGTGCCAGGACTCAAACCCTAACTGTCAACCTCAGGATCCATGGTCTTCACCACTGTGCTCTGTCCCCCCTCCTGTTACATGGGGGTCATCTGGACTAAAAGAAGGACCTGGTCACTTACTAAAGTTACGTAAATTCAGACTAAAACCCGGAGTACAATGTCTGTACTACCCAAGAGAACTGATGCCTCCTCCACTGTGGGTGGCGCTCGCTCATAAGGACCAACAGAAGAATGACACCCGGAGCCTGTGGTACAGACCCAAGGGACGCAGCCCAGAACTGGGGAGCTTGCTATTCCTGAGGATGCTGTGATGCTCAGCTGGCCAGAGTGTGAACGAGCTCCAAGTTGGCCAGAAAAGGCACTGAAAGTAGGCTAATAACATTTATCCTCATTTGTACTTGATTTTTTCCTTCAGTGAATGCCTATTTATATAACTTCAAAAGTACACAAAAACAGTTCCAATAAGTATGCGATCTCATTACATGTTCAACCAGGGACTGAACCCGAAACCTGGGTGTGTGCCCTGACCAGGAATCGGTGTACAGGATGATGCTCTAACCAACTGAGCCACCCGGCCAGGGCCATGTCCATTTTCGGTGGTCACAGAACTAGAGCAAATGACAGGAAAGCTATTCTCATTATTCTTCACTGCAGCAAATGGCTATTTCAAGGCTACAGATCTTCTCAACACCATCGGCTAGGAGCTGCCTCTGAAGGGAAAACTTAAATGGAAAACGGTTTCAGCGGTTATAAAAGATATTTGTGGTGATCCCGGAAACTCTAGAAAAGGGGCACAGAGGGCAAGATTAGTGGCCCCAACTCCACTTGTCATGAGGGCCCTCAGAGAGGGGAGTGACCAGTTACTGTAAGATTATTAATTCCAAAGCTGGGGGGATAAGGGCTCTCTGCACTCCATAGTAAATGTGCCTGAAACCAGAGATAAGCACTGAGCCTACTGTCACAGGATTCAGGGCAATCTGAAGTCAACTTATTAGCAGGCTGCTCCCAGAACTAGAAAGCCTGAGCCGTTAGCTGGCCTGAGTAGGAAAAGCCAGAGTGGATCTAAAGACGCAAGGCAAGACGGTGGGGTTCCACTGGAGACCAGGGACCCAAGTTCTGGTATTTAAGAATAAACTTAGCAAAATTAAAGCCAAACTCACTAAAACTTGCCCCGATTTTCTGGTTTATACAATGATGGGGTTAAACCTCCAAAGGCTCTAAAACAGGCTCAATCTTTTTATAAATGCAAAATTTTAAATTTAGGAGTCATAATTTATAAGACATTCTATCAGAAAATGACCGAATACTTTTTCTGTAGGTCAAACTCCACAAAAGATCGGCACTGTTTTTCAGAGTAAGACCTCTTGCCAGGAGAGCGGTGACACACCTGAAGCTGTGTAACGGACCTGCCGGACCGCTGTATTCAATTTAATGTCTAGGCCTTCTGCTAACGCCACGGGCACACATGAGTAGCCATTCCTCACTGTCAGGTGGCTGCCAGTAAACTCAAAGTCATCATCCTGGAGAGGAGAGGAAAACACATATGGTCACGCTTTTAAAACCTAACATGCCGTTTATACCGAGGTTCTATAAAATGAGGCTAAAAACACCAGTTTGTGCAGTGTCAATATGACATGCCAGAGTAGAAATGAAAACCTATCGCTGCATATTCAGCTGCAGCTGCCCCAGGAAACTGAAGGGAAGAAAAACTGCCCAGATGTCCATAATGGCGGTCCCCAGGCAGTAAAACCAGGGCAGATTCTTTCCCCCAGACCAAGTTTTCATCATGAAGTCCAGACTATTCATGGGCATGGGAGAGGGAAGGAAGCTGATTCAGGCAATTAGATACCATTTCGTGTTTGTTTTAATGCATTACAGACTTAATAGGATAACAGATTCACCACCCTAATTACATTTTATTTTACCCAAGAGCAAAATCAGTTTTTATTCCTTAAATGTACAAGTTTTAAAGTTGAAGAAGACTTCCAAAACTAAAGTCATTCGAAGCAGATGAAGGTAATCTAGGATTATAAAGATTGGCCCAAGATAATTCAGATAGTAAAGAAGTCAAGATTTGGCCTGGAAGAATTAACCAAATGATCTTATTTCTTTGAATTTACTGAAAAATTTTCTATATAGAGAAAATTTTGAAGGCTAGTTGGTATTTCTAATTTCATGACATTCCTGGGGAAAACATACCACAATTCTTAGGAATTAGATAAAAATACTGAGTTGGCGCAAAACTCTCACTGCTAACTGACTGAGTCATCTCCCCATTTAGATCAGTTCAAATTACACACATTTAAATTTTTAATACAATTACAAATGAATACATATTGAAACTCCAAATGATAAGTCAGTTACTAGGATGGGTCTAATTTAGTATTTACATGTAAAACCACAAAGAAACTAGGAATTCTGCAAGATTTTTATCACTAAAAAGTCCAATCCTCACTGTAATTTAAATACTAAAGAACACCAAGGTATAATCTAAAGATTAAGAAGTCCAAGTAATCTTACTGGAAAATGTATAATGAAAATATATAATAAAAATGTAATATTTCCTTCTACACACAGTCTTAAGTTGGGCCAAATTCTCGGATTTAGAGATTGGTCCATTCAACATCTAAGAAGCCCTGTGACTTCTCACCAGTTCAAGAGTAAATCACCATTAAAGTTCTTAAGAACAATGTGACCAAATATGATGTCACGCTCAAGGGTTTACAAGACAATATGAAGATGATAATCACTCTAAATCAGACCTATAGGTTCAATGCAATCCCAATCAAACTCCCAAAAGTTACATTTTTAATAGAAATTGACAAACTGATTCTAAATTTTTTATGGAAATACAGAAGACCAAAAATAGCCAAAACAGTTTAAAAAAAGAACAAAGCTGGAGAACTTACATGACCTGATTTCGAGACATCCATAGAGCAACCATAATCAAGGCAGTGTGACAGTAGAGTATGGACAGACATAAACGAAAAGAAAAAAGCAACTACAAACACTCACATATGGTCAATTAACTTCAACAATGGTGCCACAACAAATGAAGAAAAAGGATGGTGCTAGAATAATTAATTAGAGAACCATATGGAAAAATATGAACTCTAACCTCACCTCTCACTATACACAAAAATTAACTCAAAATGGATCACAGACCTAACATAAGAGCAAAGTCCATAAAACTTCATCAAGAAAACTGGAGAAAATCTTTGCGATCTCGGTTTAGACAAAAATGTTCAGGATCTTACAAAAAACACAAAGTCTGAAAGTTAATAGGACACTTCATAAAATTTTAAACTTTTGCTCTTTGAAAGATACTACTTAGAAAATAAAAAGGTAAGCTGTATACTTGTAGAAAATATTTGCAAAACATATCTGACAAAGAAATTGTATCCAGAATTTGAAGAACACGATGAACTCACAATTTAACAAGAGGACAAACAACCAGATTTTTTACATGGGCAAAAGATCTGAATAGACTGTTCATCAAAGAACTGACATATGAATGGCCAATAAGTACATGAAAAGATGCTTCACATCACCAGTCATCAGGGAAATGCAAATCAAAACCACAATGAAATATCAGAATGGCTGAAATTTTAAAAATTGGCAGGACCAAGTGTTGGTGAGGATGTGGAGCAATGGGAACTTCCATACATGGCTGGTGTGAATGCAATTTAGAAACAGTTTAGAAGTTCTTATAAAGCTTTATAAAAACCTACTTCCCGTAAGATTTAGCAATTTCACTCCCAGCTATTTATCCAAGAGAAAGACATGAACAGGAACGTTCATACCAGCTTCAACTGTTTATAGCCAAAAAATGGCAACAACCCACATGTCCATCAAGGTACCAGTGAAAGGGCGATCTGCCGCACATCCTTACAACTGAAAACTACTGAACAATAAAAAGGAACAAATCCCTGAAACACACCATGACGAATTGCAAACACTTCTGCTGAGTAAAGGAAGTCACACACAAAAGGCTCTACGTATTATACTGGATAGTGCAATTTACATGTAATTCTAGAAAAAGCAAAGCTATAGTGACAGAGCAAACTGGTGGTTGTGTAGGGCCAGGAGCAGGAGGGCTGGGGAGTGACCGCAAAGGGGAGAGGGAACTTTTAAGGGTGGTGAAACTGTTCTATTCTTGACATGGTGATGGTTCATCACTATATAAGTTTAGCAAAGCCAGACTGCTCACTTAAAATAGGTGAGTTTTATTGTATGTAAATTATCTTTCTTAAAGCTGTTTAAAAACACACAAATTAACAGTTTCTCTTAAGAGCCTTCTCCAAGACATGTGCAAAAAATAAATGATAAAGGAATTTTACCTGATCCCAATGTTTAAGGGAGAGTGTAGAAAGAGGTGTGGCATTAGCAAATTCAAGATTTGCAAAATGCCAGTCAAGTATTTGTCTGTCTCTTGACGAGAGATACACATCACTGCAAAATGAGAACAAAGGAGCAAAGGTTATTAAAGGACTTGACTATTACCCCCAATGGGCGGGTGTGGATGATCTCAGTAACTGTGTGACAATCTAAACCTGAGACTGCCTTATGTGAAGAAATTCTAAATCAAAAAGTAGGACCTGATCTGTTTTATTAACCCCTTTATTCCCAGTGTGTAGAGCCTTGCTAAGCTCACTACATAGAGCAAATTACAATCAGGCCTCATTTGCCTGGGAAAAAAAGAGAGACTTCTTTATATGGTTACCTTGCATTATAAAAGCATATTCATTGTAAAAATTTTTGTTTTATATCTTAAAGAAAGCATGGACTTCTGGCAAGAATGGGTAGCATCCCTGAATGCAGAACAGAGTAGACATATGTGGAGACCAGGTGCAGTATGGAGCACAGTATCAGCATGTAAGTATTTATTTTTTTAGAGAGAGAGAGAAAGAAACACTGATGTGAGGGAGACACATCAAATGGTTGCCTCCCGCATGCGTCACAACTGGGGCTGAGCCTGCAACCGAGGTATGTGCCCTTGGCTGGAATCGAACCTGGGACCCTTCAGTTCTCAGGCCGATACTCTAACCACTGAGCGAAACTGGCCAGAGCAGCATGGAAGTATTCACTGTCAACTCTGATGGAAATAAAATGTGATGCTTTCCAATTCCCCAGAGTTCTGGGAGTGTGAAGCAACCCCACCTTCTACGCGACTCGAAGACAATTTTCATTTACTACACTTTCATTCAAATACCTACTAGATTTTATGAAGAAAGGCTATCTTCAAAAACAATATAGTTTAGTATCTAGGACAGTCTTACACATTAAAACATAAGACCAGGGGATTTAGGAACCTGAGAAGCACAGCTGACAGCTCAACTCGAGGTGAAGGGGACTGACAAAGTATCTGGGTCAGCTTTTGACTCTCTCAAAACTTAACTCCCAATCGCCTACTGTTGACAGGAAACCTTACCGATAAGAAAAACAGTCAATTAACACATATTTATGTGTTATATGTATTATATGCTGTATTCTTACAATAAACTAAGCTAGAGAAAAGAAAATTGTAAGAAAAATATATACATATATTTTATGCAATCATGACATACCTAACTTTTTCTTTTTTTTTCTAGATTTCTAGATTATGCAGTTGTTTACAAGTTTTTCAAACTGTTGCAAATCTCCAAAAATTTTTTTCTAATATATACATACATACATATATATATCTATATATATATATTTGTACAAGTGGACTTGAGTAGTTCAAACATGTGTTGTTCAAGGGTAGACTGTAGTCCACATACACAAATATCTTATATTCATTCAATAATTTACAATCCATTCACTCAACATAAATAAAACCATGGTGCTTTATAATTTTCCCTCTAAATCTAACAGAAAGAACAGTAAATGTTCTGAACGTCTGAATGTTTTTCTTACCTTGGGGGATTAGCTTCCAATTCTTGAAGTTTTTCTTCTAGCTTTCCTTGTGTTTCAGCTAATTCATCATATTCCTGATAAAATTAAGAGAACCAATTGATCTAGATGCGCCAGAGACCGATCTAGTTATTTATACCACAAAATGTAAGGTTTGGACCACATCCCTGGCCCAGGTCATATCTATGAGTATCTCAGCTTAAGGCTGGATCAGGGCTCAGGGGTGGTTGTTCTTGGAGACAAATTATAAATGTGAGCCTGGAATTAAGATGGGAGGGTGGGAGGGGGATAGCAACTACCACTTCCTATGCACTTGCAGTGTCCCCAGAATAGAATAAGCACTTTAGATCCCCTATAAGTGAGGAAGTACTAATACCATGTGACAGTTGGGGTGATTAAGGAGACAAAGTTACTTGGGTAGGAGATACTAAGTTATGGATTTCAACCAGATAATGTGACCCAAATGACTCTGGAGTCCCTATCCATTATCATTATGCTAAACTGTCAGGGATAAACTATACCAAAGGGCTAAAATGAGATGTAAGTAAGCTACAGGATGGGACTGTGAAAACAAAGTGGGAATTCTGCAGAAAAAGTAGGTCTCAAACCTAACAACCATTAAGCCCCCATGGCTCCTGTGTACCAAACACTCCCTGCGTACCACAGGCACCTGTGATTGGCTAGTGCTCTCTCTTTTCCAGTCCCTCAAATCTGTACTATTTCTCAGGACCCCAAGTAAAACCAGCTGGGCATGCGCACACTGCACCTTGCACAGGGCAGTCAGGTCCCTGTGCTTGCTCTTCACCAAGAACTCAGCAGTGATGTCTCTGGGCGGCTTCACTTCGGATGCTTCTTTGTATTGCTGATGGAGCTCTTTAATTTTCTCTTTCAAATTTACCATCTAAGAAGGAAAAACACAAATTTACCATTCCAGATAGTGATGTAATTCATCTCCAAATCACATGCTTTCGCTCCCTCCGTAAACGGCTATTACACCAAAACAGGTCCTTGGGATTCTTAAATACCTCTTCTATATCGTGACATTTTAGAACAGGAAAGAAATTGTATATGGCTCAACAGAGAGATACCACATCACTATCAGATAAGTAAGATTGGTTCCATCTTCTAAAACAAATGGGAGAACTAGGAGTGACCCATTAATTAAAAATATATATACACACACGCAAATTAACAATCTCCAGGAAAAACAATCTATCATGATTTGCTTTTTAAATATATAAAAGGTCAAGTCATCACAGAAAGCTCCTTAAGGAACCACCCCCAGGGTTAGTCTGGTCAGGTTTCTGATGGCACTATAGAGGATGAGGGGACAGTTAAAACTCTAGACTGGGGCTCCACAGCTACCCTGCCAGCTGGCCACTCTTCGCATCTCATCCGTACCACAACCATGGAAGAGGAGTGCCAAAGCCCCTTCACTTGACAGGATGAAGAGAGGAGGCACAGTGAGAGCGAGGCAAGAGTCTAGGCACAAGATACTCCCAGATTCTGCATAACAACCCCACAGGAGCTGTCTGTCCCACTTCACATTTTCCCCCTAAGCTGGTGTTATATCTGTAGCTAGCAGGATGAAGAGACCAGTTTCCCAGTCTGGAGCTGGGGCTCTGCAAGGTCGTGGTAAGGAACCCTCAATAGATATACCATTTGGCACAGTGAAATAATTATGGTAATGAATTATGGTCCTGGCTGCTGACCTGTTGTCCTCATCAATGGGAACTTGACCCCAGGACAGCAAATTTCCCTCTCATCCTAAATTCAGCAGAGGATACTGGGTCAGCCAAAGGGACCTGACAGCAATTTACCAATAATGCCGCACTGAAGATCGACAGATAAAACAGTGCCTTTTGCTAGTCATTTTTTCTTAAGAGTAATTAATGAGTCCTGGCACTTCTTAAATTTCTAAATTAGAGGCTTTCCCCCCCCTTCAGCTATGAAGAAAATAAACAGAATTTCACCTTATTAAGAAGCTCTTTCAATTCCTCCTGAGTTTTCACTATCTTCTTCCAATGTTCAATCTGCTCATCTTTGACATGCTTTTCTTGTAACCTAAGAGAGACAATTTGTATGCTCTGGTCACACAGCTAGCTTTGTGACATTAAGACTGGTATCTATCAAAAACATTCAAGAGTATTAAGGGCCACTGAAATTTCTAATACCCTGGAATGAGAAAGTTGGCTGGTGACAAATTATTTCTAGGCTTTGTTAAATACAGTTAAGTGCCACAGAAGTGAATTTTAGAACTGAGAGGAGCCTTACGTATCACGTAATTATTTTAAATGGTTTTACTTTTAGATTTAACTATTTCACATGAAAATTAGCTCAAATAAGACTCGATGGAAAACTTAAATCAAAAATAGCAAATCTCTAAATGGAATTTACTAGACAATAAGCAATACTGAAGTACTTACTGAATGACAACTTCCAATGCCTGGCCAAGGGACACAGGCTTATTATTCAGGACATTGAAGTCCAGCTGATGGCTAAGGTAAGATGTAGCTTCTAGCAATCGGTTAAACTCTTGCTCTACCATTTCATCTTTCTCTTTAGGAACCTGAAAATCCGAAGTATAGCAGAGTTGGTCCTTATAAGACTAAGCATAATCACCCATGAAAACACAAATGCAATACAGATTAAAAGGTCAAAACATGTATCTCAAAGGGAAAACCTTTGAGGACAATGATTTAAACTTTCTTTTCTATGAAGCGGTCAATTCCATTAAATGAGATATGAGATGTTTTTGGCACTGATATTTTCCTGTTCTCCCAATTTTGCCCTCAGAGCTGGGGCTCCCTCTCTATTAACAGCCCCATGATTAACACTGATGCTAACTGAAGTTAAATGGAGCTGACATGCACTGAGATAAGCTGGGATGGCATGCAAACAATAGCTAGAAAAGTCCCAGAGAACAAAAATTGTGTCAGCACACCTGAGGACCTTCCAGAAAAAGGGCAAGATGGACAAATAAGAAGCCCGAGGTATCTGCTTCCCCTCAAAGATGACAGAATTTAAGGTGGAAGTAGGGAAGAGAGAAGCGAAATCCATGGCTATTAATAAGCTATTAATTTGTAAAGTAATTATGTTTTATGGCACCAATTAAGTTTAGAGGTGAATGTCCAAAGCTCAGATTATGAGTGGCTGAGGTACCAGGTCTGCTCACTATGGTGGAGGAAGAGGAGAGACTGCAGAGCAGATCATCAAGCTGCAAGACCATGCTTCCAGGCCCTGCTGTGCCCCTCTGCCTATTGAAACCATCAGTCAGTGGATACAAATACCTCTGCTACTATGTAATTCAGCCCCAAAGTAAACTGTATCTGCAATTCTATTGCTGAATTCATGACAGCAGCGAGAGAAGGAAAAATAATATATAATGAAAGCATATCTCGCCATAATAAACTGGGCATCAACTGAGAAATGAGATTTAAAGTATGGCCTGGCCAGGCATGGCTCAGCGTTTGAGCATCGACCTAGGATCCAGGAGATCACAGTTCGATTCCCGGTCAGGGCACATGCCCAGGTTGCAGGCTCGATCCCCAGTTGGGGGCGTGCAGGAGGCAGCCGATCAATGACTCTCTCATCATTGATGTTTCTCTCTCTCTCCCTCTCTTTTCCTCTCTCTGAAATCAATAAAAGATATATTTAAAATATGAATTTCACTTTACAGTCAACCTAAAATTGGCAACAACAAAAATTAAAGTTCTAAGAAACACTAAGGTGGAGAAGTGATTATCTACAATCAGAGATAACTGTGGACAAGATCATCGCAGTAAGACTCTACCTCTTGTTTGAAACTCCTTGATTTTTGCCCTTCCCAATTTAACAGATGACTTTGAAGCACAAGCCTCTGCCTCTTCACATAAGTAACTCTGTATGAGCCAAGGGGTGGCAAAAAGAATGCGGCAAGAAGTAAAATCTGCACCAAAAAAAGGAAGGGGAAAGGACTGCAACTGTCCTTTGAAACTGTAAATATGACAGACACCATAAGTGATTCAATCAAAAGCGTATTTTAAAGCATGAAGTTCTAAAAGATCACACGAAGAAAATCTTTATGAATTAGAGAATCCTCATTAGCCTAAGAAATATGAACCCCTGAGAATCTTCTGGTTTATGATGAGAAATAAGGTAGAGAATCAGGCTTTGGATACTTGGTGCCATTTATATATCAGGATTTGGTGGATCAAACACATCTGACCTCCTATTCAACTCCATGGCCAAAGAAAGGAGCTCTTGGTGACATCCCTACTTGTTCTGATTATAAATGGTTATCAGAGCTAATGAAAGAGACCATCTTGTCAAGAATTTCATTTAATTCCTCATCAGTTACTTTTCCTCATTAATGTCATGATATATATAGAGCAGTTCAAAGCAATGCTGAAATTTTGCTTGGTTTAATTCCTGCAACGATGCTACAAAAGATGGTTCCAGAAACTCTAAATTTGGTGCACCTTTTAAAAAGGAAACAATTACATTTTCAACTGATATCTATAGTTATGAAATCTTGACAGGTCATAGATGCAATGTACATGACTGCTTTTTCTGGAGTAGAAAAAGGTGGTATTTCTGTGTGGCTTCTAAAATGTCTAGCAAGGGGATGCTATAGCAGCAAGAGGGACCAGGTCACATACGCCTCTACAATAGGGCAGAATGTGCCAAAACACCAGAGTGCAAACGGTACAGATTAAAGCTCTTCCAGTGTCAACTGGATGGCTTGCTTCAGACAAGCTTTAATCTTTGCAGCTGGGGTGACAGTCACATGGGGCAGTTCATATTGAAAAATACGCAGCACTCAGGCTCAGTAACTGGGGTCCAGGGTGTGTGGTAGAGAAATATTTAAAGGGACACTGTCAAGGTTAAAGGGACCAAATTTGACCTTTTGTTTCTTCCCTCTGTTTGCTGAGCAGCCCACTTGATTCATTACAGTTTCCCCTTTAGTCCACCCCCCCCAGCCCCACAAAAAACCTGACTTTTACATGCGCTTTCAATGACAAAAACTCAAATGGCACCAGCCCAACATAGAGGCGCAAATCTACAACAACAAACCGGTGTGAATGTATGATGGAGACCTTTGGAAGGGAAAGATTTAAGTGTCAAGCTTTTAATGGGTTATTGTAAACAGTGAGGAAAATGATTTGAAAAATTATGAAAAAAATACCTTGACAGTGTCCTTTTAACCAGTGCAGCAGAGAGAGAAATAAACTGTAAATAACAGCCCAACAGCCACGTCAAGTTTCATTTTGTACGACAGCAGTAAAATCAAGGCTTTAAACACATAGCACGACAGAAGCATTCTGTTAGCTCAGAAGCTGCAACCACCAGGAAATAAGGAACAGACTGTACAGAGACCAAAATGGGAAAGTCAAGGCACAGAAATGGACAAAAGAAAGGCAGTGTGGGGAGGAGGGCGGTGGTAAAGGGAGATGGCACTGGAAAGCAGCGAGGAAAAGCGAACTTAAAGAGAAAAGAAACACAGAACAGTAACAGGACAACACAAACAAACAAAAACCAAACCAAAAGGTCACTGCCACGTCTGACTGACGTCAGGACGACATGACTGCATCTCCGGTACACCATCTAACTCGAGGCTCCACTGAGGAGACTACAAGAAACAGCAGTCAGGCCCCAGCCAGTAACTGCCTAAACAGTTATGGGAATGTTGCCAGTGAGACCAGGGACAGCTTTGAAATCTGAATGTTTTTCCACTAACTTTAAAATTCCACTTTGAAATTAAAGGAATATTTGGAGACTAGTAAATAAAATACTTGTCCATTTATCAATACTGACTGGGCGAAAACCAAAATGTGTTGTTGATATATTTAAATTTTTAATCTCTTTCTAAAATGAATCTAGTTAGATATGCACTACTTGACATCCCCAAACACTGAAAAAACTTTTGCAAATGATGACCTTTAAGCACCCACTGAACACCTGTTCCAGATCACTTGGACATTTAGTTCCAAAAGTTACGGAAAGGAGTCAAAATATTGGAAATCTCTAGATACAAGATGCACTAATTTCAGTTTTACCCGACCATTCTATTCTAGGTTCTTAAATTGCATCTTGAGAAAGAACACAGCGAATGATTACAAAGGGTCAGGCACCATGTTAGCAGCTGGATTTCTATATTACAATACAGCAAGAACATGTTAGAGCAAACTAAGAAGCAAGCATTTTTTCAGAAAGGACCTTTGATATAGTTTTTAGTAAAGAATTAAACAAAAAATATATCACTTGAAACGGACTTTGATAGGATTTTTCAGAGCCATTTATTTCCCTATGAAAGGCTCCAGATACTGTTCCTTCAACACTAGGAAAATTTGGTGAGTCTCACTGCTCTAAATGGGTACAATCCTGATTGTTTTGGTCCTGTAGATTATATGGAACATTCCTGAACATGGCCGAGGGAGGGGCAGCCTATGCATCTAGCCCATGCAGAATAAATTTAGGTAGAGCCAAGCAACTTTCCAGACAGGGTCTCTGATCCTGCAAGAAATCATCTCAAAGAAAGGACAACTCTCCTTAGTTCTATCTTTGGTTGCATTCTACCATCACAAACTCTTTAGGTCTTCAAAAACATTATCTCAATTCCAGTCTACATAAGTTCTTAAGCAGCAGAGCAGAATGGAGTTGACTGCAGCAGAAATTTCTGAGACTTAGCCAGAGAAATGTGCAAAAAGATTAACACATTGAAAGAAACTGTAATGGCCAAATCTGGCCAACAGAGGCCACAGTCGATCTCTACCTCTCCCATCCCCATGCACATCCAGAATTATGATAAAACAAAAGATTCAGATTGACTCCTTTGGTAAAACCTTGAGGAAGAAATTTACATGTGGACAGTCTCTACTTCAGCTCCCCAAGAGCGAGGAACAGCTACTATTCCTACGGGGAAGGTAACGAGAAGCATATCCCACCACAAGTCGATGGGGCTGCACGAGGCTCTCACCTTTAAACTCACAGGGCTTTTTAGATACTGTAAGTGGGCACTCGGTAAATCCCTGTTAAATGAATGAGTTAATACAGTTTGGAAAAGCAACATCAGCCTTATAACCACATTTGAGGGGAAAATACCTATTTTCCAACTTTAGGACCATTAAAGGAAGGCAGGAGATTTCCACATTTATAAAAAGCAGGGATTGGAGGTCATGATTTTAAAGGGAAGAGAAAGAATGCCTTAAAGATACCAAAGCATTTCCACAAAGGAAGATGAAAACTGGAAAGGCCAAAAAGTGTAATAACCTAAGCGCCACTCTGTATGAACACGAGTGAAAACTGGCTGCCTTAGGGCAGGTGCTGAGTGTGTCCAGCTAACGGTCTGTGTAAAAGACCGGTGCCCGTTACCTTTCTAGTCTTTCTTCCTCATAACAGTTGAGCCAGTCAAGAAAACTGGTACAGTATCTGTCTGTCCAAGTAGTTTGAGCCTTTGGATCTCACTTGGTAACAACTCTAACTCTCTGTCCCATCCAGGATGCAACAGCACTGCAGGAATTTGATTAAGATACCTTTTCATTACTCAAAAGAAGCCAAAACAAAACTAGACTCTAAAGCCCCCGAGTTACTGGCTGGTGTACAGGAGATGCAGAAAACATTCAGTTATTTCTCCCATCTCCCCCAATAATCCATGTTTTGAGTCCCCTCAACTGGTGACTCCCCAAACATGCCTGAAATATTACCCTATTTCCCAACCTTCTCCCCATCCACTTAAAGGTGATTTAAGTATAGCTCAGGGTATAACTCCATCATCAGTCGATCTGAGGGCAGCTGCTAAAAGACACTTCTATTTCTGGGGATATCCTGTGTTAGAACCAGATAGGGAAACCCTTGTTCTAGTGTCCAAAGCCATAAAATAAGCTTTCCCTGTCAAAAAAACAAACATAAAAACTCACTATTCTAGCTGTTAGTGCAGGACTAGAGAGACCAGAAAAGTGAACTCTTTCAGGGAGTCTTGTGACAGTGATTAAAATAAGATAACAAAAAGAAAACCACATGCTATGTAATTTTCCCCTATAGTAGCGAAGTGGCTGAGTATGTGATAAGTGCTTAAGACAGTATTACAAGGGGTATTTCAAACTCTTGAGTTAACTGCTGGCCTTGCAGAGGATAAAAATTTATTTCTAGGTACTCTAACAACAGAACCATTAAATCACCCCCTTTTTTCTGAGGCTGTCCACAAATAATGGAGGAACACAACCCCACTTCGTTAGTTTACAGAAGAAAAATCAATGGCTGGGTGAACGTCCATCTAGGTGGGCCTTGCTGCCTCCTTAGAGTAACTGTTAAAAGAAAGCTCTTTGAAAAGGAGACCCAGCTGATGCAGTCACATAGGCCATTAGAGTTGCACACACTTACCCACGTCCCCACCTTCCCTGAAATATCAGCCAGACATAGCAGAACAAGTATGCGAATTTGAGCGGGAACCCCAGGCAGTGGATCCCGGCTCTACAACTTATTGACTTACATAATGACCTTAGACAAACACATGTCTGAGCTTTAGATTCTTCCCTTGCAAATAGGAGAATGAAGCAACTCCCCTACTGACTCCTTAGATTTCTAAAGCCATGAACCCTAATTGTAATTATAAGCATAAATTAAGGGGGCTATAAGCTCGTAGCGCTTATCCTATAAACCAAAAACCAGTCTTCTGGTTAACAGTCATCCATTCATACTATGAGCTAGACTATTGGGAACGGTAAAATACAGAAACATTAACACACCTTCTTATGTTTAACTCACTTAAGGCAAGTAGAACTCAACATTGCAAAGAATTTCCCCCCCAAATTTGAGAACGCTTAATGAATCCGCCTTACTACTTGGCTACTGCACCAAACAGAAATATAACAACTTCGAAAAACCCTATAAAGACCAGAGTTGAATGACTACACATTTCACTTGGGAAAATACCCCAGCATACAAAATGCTGAAAACCACATGCCTGCTTAACAGCTGTTTACTACAGTTCTCCTCAAAGGGCTGATCCTGGTGAGAGAAGGAGCTTACGCCAGAACCTAAGTTAACACACCGCTTCCTTCGATGAGAAAGTCTTGCTACCAAAAAAAGGTCATCATCTGAACTAACAGTGGTTAATGATGCAGTTTATTTACATTCTGGAGCCAGTTATTTACCTCAACCCTTGTGGTAACCAACAGTTAGTTAGTTCATGGACTGGCAGCTGGTTATAGGTCACACTTGAGGGGAATACTGGTATACTATTTAGAAACAAAATTTTTTAAAAATGTTAAAGCTCATCTAATACCAAGAAAGCAGACAATTTCTCTGGATAGCTCTACTGGAAAAAAAGCTTTCCTTTTACTGTTAAATATTAAGTTAGGTGCTCTACATTCAGGAAAATCTAAAGAAAAAGGCAGTATCTCAATAACCAGTGATAATCTTTGGTTTGGATCCCATTATTTCTTGAGGACTAATGTAATATCCACTTTAGAGGCCTTGCTTCCTCAATTCAATTCTCTACACCACTGCCTGTCTACCAGAAACACCTATCTGTCCATGTTACTTCCTCTACTCAAGACCTTGTGAAGTTCCAACTGACAAATCAGCCTAGTAAGCCACAGCTTCCACCCTAAACTTTGGCTTTATATAATTGGCCCCTCACCAGTAAAATCCTACCCTCCTTCAGAGACTTCTCTTAGACCAGGGGTGGGGAACATCCAGCCTGAGGGCCATATATGGCCCTCGAAATCATTTGGTCTGGCCCTGCGAAGGCAACCGCAGGCGGGACTTGAAATTCAATAAACCTAGGAGCTTTTTTCATAGCTAATTTTTAAGTTGATAATTTTGTATGGCCCTTGAATGATGTTATAAATATCCAAAAGGCCCTTGGCAGAAAAAAGGTTCCCCACTCGTCTTAGACAAATTTCCTTCGGCCTCCAATGCCTTTCCTTCCACAACCACATGTTAAAGTCCTAAGCCAACTTCACAAATGCTCTCCTTCCCTCTAAATCTCTCCCACCTACAAAGACTCTCTCCCTTGGCTCTTCAGTAGCACTTTATTCTTCTACCTAGCCCTTGGCAAATCTGCCTTGTCTTTGTGTTACTGGAATATGTGTGAGTAATATGCTTAGGAGGGAAATCACTTTGATTTTAATGACAGCTATTATTGCTGACGCTCCTAAATTCATAAGATACCTAGATTCACTAGATTTTAAGCCCCTTGAGGGCAGAGAATGCATCTTCAATACTTAGAACAGGGCCTAGATTTTGACAAATGTTCAATAAATACTTGACTGTGATAGGCTTTAAAATACTCCAGACAAAAAGGGGGCCAGATAGATAAAACAAGATTGGAATGGAAAAATGGAAGTCCATTGTAGCACTCTTTCTACTTTTGTATATGTTTGAAAATTTCCATAACAAAAGCTGGGAAATAATTGTGTGTAAGCCCCACTACACTGTGGCATCTCACATAGCAGGAAATGCCTTGTTCAACTCTATATACTTTATATACACTTTCAGAGTAGTACAAGTTTACTAAACTGTTGAGTTAGCCTCTCCTTCACCCTTTCTCTCTCTTTCTATTCTGTTAATTCTGCCAGAAGGCTGCCCCAACCCCACTGTACCCCCCAAAAGCTCTGGAAGGAAATTTGGATCCAGAATGGGGGAGATGGAACCCAGGCATTCCCTGAAAGTCTGTTCTCTGATATGAACCCCATAAAGCCTAAAGGTACGTATACAGAAATAGGCTAGAATGTCCCATGGGACCTAAAGTTGAGATCTTACACTTTTAGTAACAATAGCCAAACTGCCATATACATAGCAAATCTTCCCCTTTCTCAGAATTGTAGACACCTTTATTCCAGATAGGGCAACTGATAAAACTTCTGCTGAATACAAACTTCTGAATTTCACTCACTCCTAAACATCAGGATTGACTTGCACAGTCTAAGCCTATCCCATAGTTGTTAAACTACTGTCACTCTCCGCACTGAACACAACTTCCACGCACGCTACTGCCATCCCAAGTGAAGGAAGCTCCTATGCGCCAGGGCCAGCACATACCTACCATAAGCATCGGCTAAGTTCCACCATTTGGCTATTAGCCCATTAAAAACTTGAGCCTACAAACACAAAACTGAAGCCATAAAGAGCACGCGGAGCTAAAGCACAGGATGGGAGGCACAATATAAAGGGAAGAAAAGGGGTCAGTTTCACAGGTGTCTGGGAGTAGGTGGCCACAGCTAAGTAAAAAGATGAACTGTCTAGCTAGCCTTCATGGAAACTCTAAAGACAAATACTTAAACAGGGGTACGTTTTAGAGTGCACACAATAATAATCCCTTCCTACACGGCTCAGTTAAGGAACAATCAGAAAACCCCGCCTCATTTCTGCCCTCAGTTCCCATGCATACAAGTGTGTATTTACCCACACATTTCCCCCAAAATTGCTTAAACTGAACCAAAGAAATTCTGAAGAGTTCCGCTTGCCCTCCACTTACAGCTTGTCCATTGGCTTCATAAAGTGGGCATTTTTGCTTGATCTTGGCCAGTTCCATATTTACTTGCTTGCTGACGACAGCCATGGGGTTCCCTCCTAGGAAAAACTCAGATGATTAAGTTCAGCATACCCACGAACAAGAACAAAACCCCAAAGCAAAAACATTTTCACTCAAATATAAAACACCCCAAGCTTGTGTATTACATATAAAAAAGCCCAAAGTAAAACAAGTAAGATAACCATGAAGAAGCAAAAAATTACCTATAACCCTGCAGTTAACATTTTATTAGATTCTTCTGGATTTTATGTGCATAAAGTTACAGGCACACACACAAAAGGGATAACACACGTGTTGTTTTGTTTTGTGATCTTTTTACAACTTAGCAATAAGCTGTGGACACCCTTTCATGTTAATATGGAGTGACATAATTTTTAGTGGCTGTATAGTTCTCATTGTGTAACAATTTCATCTTCTAGTCCTGGTTTCTAAAGTTCTGCTATGCCACATTAAAAATGCTCCAAACATAACATGGACTACTTGTCTACTTTCTTAGGATCATTTCCCAGAATTGGATCTGCTAGATCCAAATGTCTGTACAATGTAAATTTTAAAAGGATATATCAATGCACATATTGATATATCCTTTCAGGAAGACTATTTGTCAATTTACCTCTCACTAACACTAAGAATAGTATCCTAAGCCAATATATTTTAAAATTGCACCTATGGCTTTAAAATATAAACTTAAACAACCTTATGAATCTCACATGTGTATTACAGCACAAAACCACTTACCAAGACCTGTTACTACCATGGCTCCAAGATCAGCTACATAGTTTCCTTTGCGAAATGTGGCCACTCGTCCACCTACACGATCCTGTTTTCAGAAATTAAATGGCTAAAATTATCAATTCTTTTTTACCATTTTAACCATAAGACCGTGGCATGGTACCATTCCAGGCCTCTGTCTTTTTATAATTAAAAGAGAAAGGTATAATTTAGAGTTTACATGGAGTTCAATAAACAGTACAGTGGGCACAAAGAACAAATGGAGTTTAAGTGGAAGACTACTTGAGGGAGGTAGGCAATGAATCACATATAAAAAGGTACAGAATTATGATGTGAAGTAAGAAAAACAATTTGATAGTCAGAAGACATATTCAGTCATAGGTACCATTCTCTCTCTATCCAGCTGTCTCTAATATTACTAATGGAAAGGCTAAACAAGGGTCACACACATAGAAAAATATGTATTCAAAAGTTTCAAGACTAAATGCCACCTTCTACTACTGAGTTTCAACTCTTGTCTTCCAGTGCCCAAAGTCAGTTGTGAATGATGTGATAGATGATTTCTTTGACAGATGGTTCTGCAGAGCAGGCCCATGCCTAGGGACAGAGTGTCTAATGAGCACGAACTGTTAACACCACCTCTCATTACTAACTAGGCCCAAGTTTATCTCTGCTGATTAGGGATTTTCAAGTATGGGACAACCTTACTCAGCTGCAGAGATATTTCAATCATGGGTAAGTAATACGAGCATACAAACTACAAGCAAGCAAAGCAAAACAAAATCCTATACACTGGATTAAACTCCACATGGGTAGGAATCATAATGATCCCGTCATTCTTTACTGTATTTTTAGTACACAGGACACAAAACTGTTTTCTGTATTAATGAATAAAATATTTTTAGTAAGACTGTATCAGAAATTGTTTACTTTGCTGGGTCGGCATGGCTCAGCGACTGAGCATCCACCTAGGATCCAGGAGTTCGTGGTTCGATTCCCGGTCAGGACACATGCCCAGGTTGAGGGCTCCATCCTCAGTCAGGGTGTACAGGAGGCAGCTAATCAATGACTCTCTCATCATTGATGTTTCCATCTCTCTCTCTCCTCCCTTCCTCTCCCCGAAATCAATAAAGATACATTAAAAAAAAAAAGATATTAAAAAAAAAAGTTGCTTACTTTTGATTTCCCCATATTTGAAAAGACTATTCTTGAAAATTAGCAATTTATAAAAAGCAATTTAGATTGAACTATACGAAATATTTTGAAAGCTTTTATAAAATTTTAAGTTTTTAGGTTACCCTGAGAAGTGTTGATTGATTGAGAAGAGAAACATCGATCAGTTGCCTCCCACGTGTGCCCCGACTGGGGATCAAACCCACCACCTTTTGGTGTACAGGACAACACTCCAACCAAGAGCCATCGGGCCAGGGTGAGTAGGGTTTTTTTAAATAGTGGGAGTCCAGGGAGGCCTTTAAACCACTGGAAGATAACTCAGAATTTACTAATGAAAGTAATTTGATAGCAGTACCCTAACCTGATGTTTCTTTTCCATCTACACCATCACCCCTTTCCTCCTTTAGTTTCCATCTTTCTCCCTAGGGCTAACGAGAAAGGAATTAGTATCTTGGTGTCATCAGGCCCTAAAAGATGGCTGCTGCCTGAGCAGCTCCTTTTCCTCGACTATCAAACAGAGAATACAGTTCACTCCGTCCCACTACTGAGAATGCTGCCTCCTCTGCAAAGGATATGCTCGTGAAGGCCCATGACCTGAAAATATCCATCGAAAGGATATGCTGCAGATCATTTACAAACTCTAAATCCTCACTGAGCACTTTTCAAAGCTTTACTGTCAAAAATGCTTCAATACAAACAACACTATCCAAAATACTTTAAGTATCAATACAAACCAATTTGGTTTAGTTCAAGTTATGATTTCTTAATTTGCAACAGATAACTTCCTTATGTTCCTTTAGGCCAGGCTTCTAACCTGAAATAAAATTCTTACCCTAGCTTCCAGAAGTGTGACATCCATTCCGAAACTTTGTAATTGACGAGCTGCTGCCAAGCCCGAGACTCCAGAGCCTATAATAATTACCTTTCCTGTCTTTTTAGCTAAAAGCAAAAACGAACAAAAATTAGAATATTTCAATGTAGGTTTGGGTTTGTACCTACAGTATTTTATCATAAAAACCTTTTAATGTGTCATGATGTCTTACAAAGTAAACAATTCAGACAGTTATTTTCAAACTATGGAAAATATTTAAAAACGAATTAGCAAATATATAAAACTTACGAACTTTAATTCAGTGCTGAAAATTTACAAATGAAATCCTTTATGCTGGGATTTACTCTCTCATTTTTTCAGTCATGTGTTCCAGTACCTGTGATTCTTGGTTGACTTACTATAAATAACCTGCTTCATTACCTCACAATTATACTAGGACAGTTTGACCAGACACTCTATTTATCCATAAAGCTATTTCCTGTAAGCTCCACTTCTACAGTCTTCAGTATCCCTTTTGGAAGAATTATTAAAGGATCAAAAACAAATGTATTTTAAAATAAATAAATAAATAAATAAATAAATAAATAAATAAATAAATAAATAAATGTACTATTTCTCAAAATACCCCTATCTCCTGGATTCCTGGCAGACATTATCCAGAGACCATGAAAGGAGTAAATAGTATGTAAAAAATAAAAATGCAACCTTTAGCAGTAAAAAAAAAAAAAGTCAATGAGAGAAAACCTCAAACCTCCTGCTTGCATAACTCACTTCTCTCATTTTTAACAAATTTTATATCTTAATTGATTCTTCTTAAACTGGAAGTCCGGTACCTTTACTAAAGTACCTATCAAACCAGAAATTATAGGGAATGCATTTATAAAGATATTTTAATTTTGACTTATAAGATGAACTTTGGGATCTTCTGACTCCAAATATAGATTTAGAAATCAAAATAAAATGCTCAAATCCTCCTGGAAATAAAATTGAGCCCTAGAACAACACCAAAATCAGGACTGCACCGGCCAGGCCCTTACTTGGGAGGGGCTTTATCCTCTTATAGATGCCAAAGTTGATGAGACCATGGCGCTCCAAGTAACTGTGAACTCGGTGGACAAGCACAGTGTCACCTACAGAATAAACGAATTTAGAAACATGCTTATATTTTTAGCAGTTTAAACAAAAAGCTCTTTAACTCTTCTACTGTTCCATCATGAAGTCACTCTATACATATTTTCCATAATCTTCAGGTCCTGTGACTCCTCTAGAAAGGTGATTCTTAGAAGTATTAGTCTATGAAGTAGTACAAAGTGCATATCACATAATTAAGAATTTTTAAGAATGACATTCCATTATAATGAAATAAAAGTTAAAACCAACCCTTTAAAATGTAGTATTATGCTCAATTACTCTGGCAAAAACTTTACAAGATTTTGTTGCTGGCAAGTGGGAAATGAGAAAGTCAGACAGCTAGTCAACTGAACGCCAACAAAGTACTCCATGGAGTAGAGCTGGAACATAGGTCTGGGGAAATTATTAGCAATCTCTTGAACTCACTCATCTGTCATTTCAATTTAAAAACCAGGAAAACAATTACAAACATACAAAATAGCTTTTCTATAAGGCTCATTTTTGCACAAGGTGAAATAATGAAAATATGAAAAACAAAATTCGTTATCAAGGAACCATGAGGCTCCTGGAAGGAAATGTCAATTTTCATAATCCAGCCCAAAACCAGTCCTACTGAACACATTACTTACTGTTGTAAGGTGCTTCTAATTGTTGGAGAGTAGCCTCAAAAGTCAGCTGAATCTTTGGATTATCCAACCACAACTGCAACTGTATTTAAATGATAGAAATTGTATTGTACACAATTAGACATATACCATTTGACCACTTTAAAATATCCTTTTAACTCCAAGGCCCCAAATACAGGCTTTCTTATACTAAAACAATGAGGGTTATATTCCTGACAAAGAAACTAGTGAAACATAAAACTATGTCAAATGAGCGAATTATTGAAGAAGCTGGGAGATATTTAACCTAAAAAAGAAAAAACACACACTAGTAACTTGCCAAGCTCATATAGCTGGCAGGGAGCAACTAGGATTTAAACCTGGATTACACAAAGCAAGAGCTGCTGAGTAGGCAAAACCTACAAAATCAAATGATCAATTAGCTATGCAGAGGTTGAGGGAAAAGAGATGCCAGGGAAAACTCCTCAGTTTGTGGCTTGTACAACTAAGTGAGTCAGTGTGCCATTCACTGAATGAGGATCACTGAAAGAAGAGATAATGAATTTAGTTTCAAGACAATCAGGAGAAGATATCAGACCAGAATCCAGATATATAGCTGGGACTCATAGGAGAGTCAAGGTCTAGAGCAATTTGCTTATGGGTGATAACTGAAGCCAAAAGTGTAGAAGAGGAGTCCTGACGGGAGACATTAAGGAGCCTTAATGAACTCCAACCAGTTCACATAATGGCCTACTGTTCAAGGATAAGCCTATAAAGCAGTTCAAGACAGCCACTGAAGCAGGGAGTAGTGTGTTTAAGAAAAAAGAAGAGGCCAATTATTTTGAATGCTGCTGAAAAAGCAGTAAGATGAGAAATGAAAAATACCGTGGTACAATCATTGGGCTCTAACATAAATTCTCTTCACATTGAATATATTATCTTCAAAATGTAAGACCAACTGCATACTACCATATTTAATCTTAGCTAAAACTTAACAAAGACTGCTCCACAGACAAGGTTCAAAGAAGGGGAAATTTGGTCATATGTAAATTAAATCTAAGTAAGAAATATAACCAAATTAATAGCATCTCTACTTTTCTCTGTGGCCACTGTCAAGGGAAAAAGGAATTCCTCAAGTACACTATGGGCCCAAGCTCCTCATCAC